ATTATGCTGTGACAAATTTCAGCAGAAAATTTGTGTCAATGTGACCTGCATGTTCGTAGCAAAAAGTAATTGTACACAGAAAAAAGCATGTCCTTCTAATTGTTTTATTATTTTTGAGAAAAGGTTAGGATGTCAGGAAATTGAAGAAATCCCCCTTATATTTCTATAGGTATTGTTCCTTTTCATAAATTCAACATGTTCCAAATATAGCTTATACTGCAGAGGGAAGCCAGAGATTTATAAGTAGCAAAACAATAAATCACCACTCTGTCTAAGGTAGTTATTATTTTTGACAGCTTCAGATACAGTTATGTATTAACAAATACCTGTGTGACTTGTTTTCTTGGAAAAAAAAAGACCACTGAAATGAATTATTTATAGAGCAAAGTATTTCTAGATTTAAATTTTAAGTGTGAGGCAGCTTATTAAAGGAAACTACTTAAACAGACTTCCCTCTGATTTTATTCTAGGCGACCAGCTAAATTTAGATATCTAACCACAATTACTAATTTTCACGAACTTCATGTTTTGAGTAGAGCATTTTAAACATAGTTTTAAAGAAGATATTGCAATCGATTTCTCTTGAGAGAAATATGTCAAGTGCCAATTTTTGAAAATTGATTATAGACGAATTAATTCATTGCAAAAGTTTGGCTTTCCAGAAAATCTGAAATGTCATCATTTTGTGTATTCAATTTTGTGCAATACAGTAAACAAGTAAACTTTTTGAAAAAAAAATAAATAAAGCATGCCTTTTTAACTTTGGTAGGAATAGTGAAGCATTGCCATTTTAGATGAAGTGTATCACAAACACTGTAAAGCTGAAAATGGCTTATCAGTTAAAGAAAAAACATATTTTAAGAGATATACCCTAAGCCTTTGGTAAAGTGGGGTTTTTTTTGTTTGATAGTTAAGGCATGGTGGAAGGTTCACTTAAATAGTGATACAGAGGAATTTTCTTTTTAACAAGAATAATGTCTGCACCATCCAAAATCCCCTATATTATGCCTACACAGCTTGTGCTGATGTTTAAGGTGACCTTGACTTAACATAATCATCCTGAACAGTGTTTTTAGCTATAGCCTAGACATGATTTAGCTATTTCATAGCTTGTTAATTAACCTTGACCTGAAATGCATGGATTTCAGTCAAATTTTTGCCAAATGTTTAAAAAGGTCAAGGGTAAGTCTTGTTCACAAACTCTATTTAAATTTTGTATTGCATGTGGCCTTGACCTTTAATGTACATGTGTAAGCTTGGGGATGCACCTTTAGTCATTGAACAGTTTGTAGTTAAAAATACTTTTAAGTTTGAACCATTCTGATATTCTGTTCAATAGGTGTTCAAATGTTGTGACAGATGAATAGACAGAAATTTTATAAAATGTCTTCAACAGGAGATCAATTAAGGAATGAATTAAATAGCAACACAAGTTATACTGAATAACCTGGGTTGGGGCAGAGTAATGTAACCTTCAACACAGCACCAGTCAGGTCAAATTTTACACTGCAGGGAATGCAGTAAAAAAGACTGCATGGATTTTATTCAATTTTCCATCACAATGTTTTACAGGTTTTTTGGCATCTTTTTCAACAAGATTTGTATAAAGTTCCCACTTTCTGATATGATCAAAATTTTAAAAAATCTTTCCAAAAGAATGTATACATACTACTGGGTTTGAAAGATCAAATTGTAATATTCATAATACTTTGATACTTTAATGTTTAATTATTTTTGTTTTTTACATTGTTTTGTATAAAGAATTTAGAAGGGTCTTATATTAAAGCAGTTTTTCTTCATAGAATCTAAAAAACTTTGCTAGGTTTTACGTTCAATCAAAGTTTTTGGGTATTTCAGTCGTGTCGTAGGTTCTTTTGATAAATAGAGCCCCTGATCAGTCAGTCATCAGTGCAGGAAAGTTATAGAGCAATTAGAGGTTTAAAGTTTATCCTGATTTCCTGGAATGGATCAAGTCTCCATTCTTCCTTTATCTGAAATTTTTTCTATTTTACTATTATTCTTGGATGAATGTATAGATTTCTTTCAAAGATAACTTCTATAAAGTTTTAAAAAAAAAAATGATATATTGCAATTTTATAAAAGTTAATTGGTTTTTTTTTTATATAATATATTGCATTTAATGATCAAATCCAGATAATATCACAATGCACTCTTTATTAATGTAATATAATCTATGTCCTTTTTGACAAACATATTATATTATTTTGCTGTCTGTCCATCTGTCTGTCTGTGTGCGAGGGACATTTCAGTCCTGTAGATATCAGGACTTTTTAATAGTAAATTGGAGTTTACATAGATTTTGAATTTTGGCAATTCATATTAAAGTAATTATGAGAACATTTTCAACTTAAATTATTTTACATTATTTTAGTTTATTTTGATGGACTGTGTTTAGAAATCTTCAGACCTGTTATAAAACAAAATGTGAAGTATAAATCTATTGGCTAATGATCATGTCTTGATATATTGTATTGATATCTAATTGTTCACTCTGTTATTTGTTCATGTTGAAGGTTATATGCATAATTGTATATGACAATTAACAAATTAAATTATTATTTTAATAAAAAGTAAAATGAGTAAAATGTTGCAAAAAGAATCCAGTTTACTTGTTGACAATGAGCCCTAGTAATTAATTTAGTAATATTGAAGAGGGAATTACTAGAAAAAAAAATCAAGATTGAACTCAATGTCAAATCATGAAATACAAGTACACACTTCAGAAAAGAAATTGAATGCTTTCTCATTACATGCTGAAAGTGATTCATAGTGATGAAAGGTAGACTTTCTTCATGTGAAAAGACATGTTCAGATGATTCAAGGCTGCATTTAGATTTGCAGGATGATAACATTATGATCAGATGTTTTCTTGGAATTGATCAGGTCTAGTTTCTTCAAGATCAGGGTCAACCTGTCGGCAAGCAAATAATAAGAGAATTTCAATAGTAAAAGGATCTACAAGGATGTTAACCTTATTGCTATGATGCTGTAAAAAGTATAATGGGCTATGATTGCATTGGTAGTTTTTTTGTCAAAGGTCTTAGTAAGAAAGATTTAAATCTGGTTTGTAAAATGATTTAAGGGTTTTAAAGATTATGTATCACCCTCGTAGTGATTTATCATCATAATAGCAGATGTTAAAGGGTTCTTGGAAAAGATCAAATAAATATAAAGGCAATTTAACAGCAAAACATTTGAAATTTAATATATGTCGCAATGTTTTAATAAATATTTACATCAGGGTGTGCAATACTGTATACAGGGAAAAGATACTAATGTATTGCCCTTAATTTTTATTAAAAAGGGGCAAATTCAAAATATACAATATATTTTCTGAAACAAAACTGTGACTGGACAAATTTAAAACGGAACAAAATTGGTTGCAAGTGTGAACGGGCGAAAATAAAATGGGGCGAAAATAACCCTGTATACAGAACATATAAAGCTGAAGATACTGATGTATACATGTAGTAATTTTTTTAGGTCACCTGAGCTGAAAGCTCAAGTGAGCTTTTCTGATCACCCTTTGTCATTATTCCGTCCGTCTGTCCATCTGTAAACTTTTCACATATTCAACCTCTGGGCCAATTTTTACCAAACTTGGTACAAAGCATCCTTGGGTGAAGAGGAATTTTAATTGTTAAAATAAAGGGCCAAATCCCCTTCTAAGGGGAGATAATCAAGAAAATACAAAAATGATGGGGTCACTAAAAAATCTTCTCAAAAACCAGAAAAGCTGAAACTTATGTGGAAGCATCCTGGGGTAATGTTGATTCTAAATTGTTCAAATCATGACCCCAGGGGTTAGGGTGGAGCCACAATAGGGAATCCAATTTTTACATAGATTGAAATATATTGGAAAAAACTTTAAAAATCTTCTTCTCAAGAAACACTAGCTGGGCCAGAAAAGCTGAAACTTATTTGGAAGCATCCTATGGTATAGTAGAATCTAAAATGTTTGAATCATGACCCTTTGGGATTGGGCAAGGTCAAGATAGGTATTACAAAGGGAGAAATATGTTAAATAACAGAATGACCAAAGTTACTCAGGTGAGCAATGTGGTCCATGGGCATCTTATAGATTATTGTTGAAGACAAATGACCCTTTTATCATAATTGAGTCAATCAAGATTTAAAATTTTATCATATGACATACTTAGAATTTGTTTACTTATCCTTTGTATTTTTTCCTAGAACTCTGATTGCTGTGATCACGAGTTTGTTTTTTTTAATGCTTGATAATCGAGATAGGAGTATGGGCTTGTATTAATCATGTTTTTTCGGGCAAATGTCAACATTTCTGACTCATCATCATTTCCAGGCAAAATAGATTAATGATTATTTTATATTTCGCTTTTGTTATATTACTTTATTTTTTTTTTAATTGGTAAAGTTTACTCACCTTAAGTAATAAGAAAAGATGAAGGTTGTATAGAGCATTGGCATTTTCAAACCCCAGTGTTGTTGAACTATTTCTTAAGAGTAATGGTACTAAAAAGTCAACAAACATTCCAGATTTGGTCTAACCAATGTTACCTACATTGTACTTTTCTTGTTTTTAGAATTTTGATATCATGACTACCAACAGTATATAGAAATGGGTGTTTTAGATCTTTTAATTTGTATTATTCAATATTTATTGTAAAAGTAATATAATTAAAAAAAAAACACAATAGTTCTGTGTGACTACATACAGAAATAAACATCTAGTATGTCTGTATGTTTGTGTTGTATAACTCTTGATGAGTGTTCCACTCTTTTGAAAAATGTTTTCCTACTTGTTCACATTTCCGTATCATCGTTATATAATCCTTTGGAAAAATAATTTTCCAATTTCAAATGTTTAAGTGTTTGGATTTTTTTAAAAACGTTTAGAAACTGGTTTAGAAATTCAGAATGTTATTAAATTTTTGAATAGTTTTGCGAAGATATAATGGAAGCTATTTAATTTAAATTCATGTACTCTTGCCTCTTTTCAGGCCATTCGGGTATTTTTTCTGGTACGAGACTTGTCCTTGACCTTGCTGAAAGAGGAAGAACTTCAGCTGCCACTCAACCGTGACCAAGCTTCAGTCAAAACCAATGATATCTTAGATCTAAGTAAGTAAAGACACAAAATTCTGGGACTTCAGTATTTTCTTTGCATGAAGAAACAATGCATTTGATGATTTTGGGTTAAAATATCAAAACAGTAGAGTGCATGTCACACAGCACGTACCAATCAGACAACTATGCCTCAAATTTCTGAATCATGAAAGAAATTTTGAATAGGGGTATTCTTACTTTACAAATTTTATCTTGGATACATTAATTTTTATAAAGAATTATTTCTATGATGCAACATTGTCACGTTTCAGAATAAAGCTCTTGCCAAATATTATTGTATTATAATTTTTTTCAAAATGTCCAAAATAAAAGAAATTATATCCTTTTATCTCATTTGAGTTGAAGGCTCATGTGAGCTTTTCTGTTTTTCTGTTCATTGTATATCTGTCATTGCCATTGTCACTTTTGTAAACTTTTTGTCTTTTAACCTTCTTCTTTCGAAAAAATTGACCAAATTCAACCAAACTTTGCACAGACTCTGGAGGCCAAGTAATTCAAATTTGATCTAATAAAGGACTTAAGGAAGATTATCAGAAAACGATAAAAGTTGTTTTTTTTAAAATTACTTCTCATAATCCACAGGGCCAAAAAAGATTATCATATTAAATTGCGATCTCAGGTTAGCACTGTGCCCATTTGGCCTCTTGTTCTAATAACAGAAGAAAAAAAAACAATCCAAACATGCATTTAGATTAATGACTTAATAAATATTTAGTTAAAATATAAGATAAACACTTTTAAATATTTCTGATTAAGAATTTCAAGCATAGAAATGTCAAAAGATGCCAAAAACAAAGAACTTTTCTGCGTGCATGAAGGTTATAGTATTTATCAGAGTTTAGATAAGATATCTATAAATGCACAAACATTCAAGATTAATTCTTTAAAAATTTGCATAGAAATATTTGCTGGAAATGTTGTGCAAGTGATGCTGCCATTAAAATAACTATTGCAAGAAATCTCTCCTTTATTGTGAACCCAATTTTTAGCTGGAAAAATATTATCTCATGGAATGTTTACGCTATTTCCAAGTTTTTGCTATTTCCAAGTTTTTCCTGGAAAAGTGTGATAAACTGATTACATGCAGAAATGTGCAGTAGATTTTATGTCAATTTTATTCACATCTTAGTACAGTCAAACCTGCCTTGGAGGTCTAGTGCCCTGTACATGGCCCTTAAAAAAATCTCAACATCCTTATTGATAAAAAAGCAATACTTTTTGACCTAACTACAAGCACACTATTTTAAGTTATTTAAGCCTTATAAAGTGTAAAATAACATTCCATCAAAGTCTCTATTTAAAGAACAATATAATAAGTGTATTCTCCTATTTTTAGAAATCTTTGATTCTCCATAATCAACCAGTGATTTTTTATAACTCGGTCATGCAGTAGGTCAAGGTTTCATTTTTTTCTAGATTTAATATATGAAATAGATATAACATTTCTTATTTCCATACACATGTTCATTTAGAATTATAAATAACATGAACATATACATTGGAAATGAAGATTACCTCTTAGTCTATAGCCTAGAATTCCTAGACAACAGTCACTCTGTGCTGAATCTTCATTTTTAGCGTAGCTTAAATATTTAGCTTATACAATGTTCTATGTATACTAAAGAAAAAAAATGAGGTGAACAAAAGACAATTGTTTTGTGGATGTAGCTCTTTATATCATTGACCCTATTCCAAAAATAAAGTGGAATAAAAGGTTTCTATTTCAAACACTAGTATACAATAATTTTGTAGAAGTATTTATTTCTGCCAGACTCTTGCAGAACGTTAAATTGACTACTGTATATGCTTAGGTTATAACTTGGCTTGCCTAAATTCTATTTCATTCACTTAATTAAGATTCTACACCACATTTCTCATTTCAACAAATAAAATTGACATATAATAAAGAAATGATTTTTTTTCTGTAGAAAAGAATTGAAGATCAGATAAAAATAGAAAATCTATTTCAGGCAATTTTCAAAAAAAAATTGTTAACCTTTTTTTTTAGTCATCAGGGTTAACTTAAGATTGGTAATAATAAGAAAACCAATCATTTGTTTATTTTGGCCTTATACAGCAACTTTCCATTTTTAGCTCATCTGAGCTGAAGGCTCAAGTGAGCTTTTCTGATCAAAATTTGTCTGTCGTCGTTGTCCTTGTTGTTGGCAGCTGCTGTGTCGTTGTAAACTTTTTATATTTTCTTCTTCTTCTTCTCAAGGCCACTGGGCCAATTTCAACCAAACTCACCACAAAGTATCCATTGGTAAAGGGGATTCTAGTTTGTTCAAATGAAGGACCACGCACTTTCAAAGGGGAGATAATTACGAATTAGTGAAAAATTAATGGCATCTTTTCAAAAATCTTCTTCTCAAGAATACTGGGCCAGAAAAGATGAAACTCATGTGGGAGCATCCACAGGTAGTGTAGATTCAAGTTTGTGCAAATCATGACCCTGTGGGGTAGGGTGGGGCCGCAATGGGGAATCAAATTTTTACATAGAAATATATAGGAAAAATCTTTGAAAATCTTCTTCTCAAGAACCACTGGGCCAGAAAAGCTGAAACTTATGTGCACATAGAAGGATCCTGGGACTACACAGGAAACATCTTCTTCTCAAGAACAGCAAAGCTGTGACTGGTCACAGTTTTATGAAATTATTCTCAGTTAGTGTAGATTCAAATTTGTTCAAATCAAGACCCCAGGGGGTTGGGTGGGGCCACAATGTAGTATCAAAGTTTAACATAGGAATACATATGAAAAATCTTTAATTTAAAAGTCTTCTTCTCAAGAACCACTGGACCAGAAAAGATGAAACTCATGTGGAAGCACCTTCAGGTACAGGTAGTGTAGATTAAAGTTCGTTCAAATCATGATCCGGGGGGGGGGGGGGGGCACAATGGGGGATCAAAGTTTAACATAGGACTTTGTAGGAAAATTTTTAAACATCTTTTTTCAAGAATAGAAATGACTGGTCATAGTTTTATGAAATTATCCTCAGGTAGTGTAGATTCAAGTTTGTTCAAATCAAGACCCCAGGGGGGCAGGGTGGGGCCAGAATGGGAATAAAAGGAATACATAGGAAAATCTTTAAAAATCTTCTCAAGAACAGCAAATCCATGATTGGTCATAGTTATATTGAGGCATTCTCTTGTAGTGTAGATTTAAGTTTGTCAAAACCATGACCCCTGGGGCAAGGGTGGGGCCATAATGGGTGATCAAATTTTCAAGAAGTGTTACATAGAAAAAAAATCTTTAAAATTCTTCTTGAGAACAGTAAAGCTGATTGTTCATATTTATATGGAAGCATCCTTTGGTAGTGTAGATTCAAGTTTGTTTAAATCATGACCCTTGGCATAGAATGGGGCCGCAATGTGTGATCAAGGTTTTATGTAGGAATATATAGGAAAAATTGTTAAAATTCTTCACAAGAACAGCAAAGCCATGATTGATCATCAATATAAAAGCATCAAAAAGTAATGCAGATTTAAATTTGTTCAAATCATGACCAACCAGGAGAATAGAGGAGCCATTAAAGTGGATCATTATGAGTTAAACAAAGGAATATAACGGTTATATCAATCAAAATTTTCCATCTTATTAACAGCAAAGCTTTTATGTATCATAATAATTAAAAAGCATCCACAGGAAGTATAGATTTAAGTTTGTTCAAATACCCCCTCTCCCCTGAACCCACTTTTATATTTAAACTTTTCAATACTGAACTGGTTTTTGCATTTATGTAGCCAGTTGCTCAGGTGAGCGATGTGGCCCCTGGGCCTCTTATAAATGTCCATACAGTTCTGAGAAATTATTCAAATTAAGGTAAATCTTGAAATGCTACATGTATATCAGATATACAGCCTTATACCCCACTTGAATCATATTGCTTGCAATTAGGCCTAACTCAAAATAAATCACACACCAGATTCTTAATTTCTCTCTGTTCAAAATCTCAGTTACTTTGAAGTTGTTATCACTTGCATTCAAGTAATTCTAGGGTCCTTTGAACTGCATGATAATGGATTTGTCTTTATGATAGTTGTTTTGAAGTCAGGCTGTTACAACCACCCATCAATTCTTATGAAACATAGGTTAACTAGATGTATTTGTTTACACAGAAAACTGACTTTATTTTTACTACTTCAACAATTAAAAGAATTTATAGGTTTGAGTTTAATTGTGTGGTTTCATCTTCTGACATTTCATTGGAGGGTTACTTTCATAAGACAACAAAGTCATGTATACCAAATCCCTGAACAACACTGTTATTGTCGAAAAATAATCTTAAATAGTTTAAAAATAAAGACAATGACAACAAAGAGATGAAAGTCATGACAAAAAGATTTGGTTGCTGTGATGTCAAACTGAATACAAGCTACTGTTAATTCATGGTTATGAAAAACGTCTTTGACGTACAGTCAAAAGACAGTGAAACCTGTATAATCTGGGTTTTGTGTAATTCATAATCTTGCTTAAAACAAATTTAGCTTTACGACCATTTAAGCAAAATCATTTGTTATTCTTTTGTTGAAAAAACACATAATAAACTCAATAGACTAACATGAACGAACGAAGGAAATTTGGGTTGAAATCCCCATATTGTTCCAAGAAATTTTTATGAGTCCATGTGAAAAACAAGATGTGTTTGTGAAACACTATGCGCCCTGTGGTAACAAAGTTCAAAAAAACTATTTTTTGCAGATAAGTCACAGTCAAGGTCACAAGGTCATTAACCTTGGTGCCATTTGAAAGAGCTTCATTGGTCAAGTATGCATACCAAATATGAAGTCTCTATCTCTCATGGTTCAAAAGTTATGGCGAAGGTTAAAGTTGACAACAGACAAACAGACAGGACAAAAACAATATACGCCTCGGACCTATCGATCCGGGCGCATAAAAATCCAAACTTCCAATTATCCTTTGCGTTGCATTGCAACATGCTTAAACATTGCAACAACTTAACTTGAAAAAAAAATTACAAACAATGATTTTATGCAATATCCATACCACAAAATCATCATTTGTGTCCTAAGTCAAGAACTTTTTATTTGACATCATACTTTTGTCACTTAAACAGCGCAGTGTTTCCAATTTTGTCGGAAACTTCCGAGAAGCTCAGAATTTTGATCTCAGTGCATGGGAATTGATTTTTATTTAGTTTTCTTTTTTCCTTGTGATTTTTTTTAATTGAATTGAAGATAGCTAGTACATTCCTAAGCTGTGTATAGGTTTTCGATAGTATATAACTGCACTAATGTCCCAGTGGTCACTGTAAAACATATTACATGTGGTGCACATTGTACAGTGTATTTCCAATATTAATTACAGGTTTTTCTGTTGCTTTGAACTTTGAATGTATAATTAAGATTTTTCTGCAGTCTCCTGAATTCCAGTATATAAAGAGTAGCCGGTAGTTAGAACTTAAATTATTTCAATTATATGCGTCCATTTCTTAGAATTAATTAAGACAATTTAAACTTGCATTTAAAGCAGGTGTTGATCTATGTTTTACACAAAAAGAAAGAATATGCATGTAGAATAATAATAAAAAAAATTTAAAGTACAAATCTTCCTACTTGAAATTTTTTAAAAGTAGTGAAGTTTTTAAATTTTAATGAAAAAGACTTTAGTGTGATTTTCTTATTAGTCTATAAACTTTTAATTAAAACATGATTGTCAATTAGTTAAAATTCTAGAAGGGTTTTTTATTGTGTAACTGTGCACATGCATAGCCTCATACAAAAAAATCTGAGGAAATATAAAATTCATAGTTATATTTCTATTTGTAATTGTATAATGAATTTCATTATAATATCATGTGCGTATTTAGTCATGGAAAGTACACAGAAACTTTATTATATGTGGAACTCATTCATAATAAGGAAAATGCGTATTAGGCAATGGAAATTATACTTTTAAAAAAGTTAATGTTTTGGTTTCTTTGGAGGTTGAAAAAGTAGATCTTAATTTGAAATGAACGATCACTTATTGGAATAATGGACCATAGAATTTATTTTGGATTGCATTAAATGGTTTCTGAATGTCCATGAAAAGTTTAAAATAAAGGATTATGTAATATAAGGTTACTAGACCAAAACTATTGAGATACGAAGTCAAACGTAAATGGAAAGCCTTTAAAACCTATTTTAAGAAATGACTTGACTAGGTATCAGGAAAACACCTAATAAATTTCCAGCTTTATAATTATGTTTTTTATTTGGAAAAAATGGGAAATAATATCTGCAATGTTGGCAAAACATTTATAAAGTAATGTCAGTGTCATTGTACCGGGTATATATGAAAGGTGTACCCCAGATGTTATCGACAGCCAATGCATGTATATATAACACAGGTGTAAGAGATACATTGACTTCATCTAAAATTTTTCAATGCACCATTCAAAATATAAAAAAAAACATATAATGCATTTAATACAGGATTGAAATTGTAGACAACTGTGAACAGTTGGTGTCATTTTTATACGCCCGTCTTAAGACGGGTCGTATTATGTTATAGGCTTCATGTCCGTCCGTCCGTCCGTCTGTCCGTCCGTCCGAAGTATAAACTATAACTTGAATGCTATTAGGCCTAGGATTATCAAACTTTGCTGATACTTCTTGGGTAGACGGTGTGTTTGCTCTGACCTTTAATAAAGATACTATAGCCAAATATGGAAAAATGCTCATAACTAGAAAACTATTAGACCTAGAGCTTTCAAACTTGGCAAAAGTATACATCTAGAGTAGAAGGTGTGTCGCGGCCTATTCCAAGGTCACTGTGACCTTTAATTAAAGTGATTTTTTTAAAAAACTAAGTTTTTTAAATAAATTTCATAATCCTAAAAAATGTAAAAATATAGTTGTATCCTTATTAAAAGATGTTAAATTAAGTAAAAACTTATTTTTTCATTATATACTTTACAGCAATCTGTAACAAATGTTTATGCTTTGAGAGGAATTCAGTTTGTCCCATGGGCATAATTATCAAGCACTGGTCAAGAAGAATTTCGATAGCAGAAATTTGCATGTCAAATTAGAGAGAAATTAATGAGTTTAATGTCAGGAGCTAAGAGCGTCTTTAGATTTGATGCAGAGTTATCTTAATTTATCCCTTGAGAGTTGGGCAAAAAGAAATGGCCTCATAGTTGCTTGTGTTAATTAAAAATTCTTGATGGCTAGTCCAAGATCTTTCAATTGGTGTAATTAATTTAAACAAATTAATGTTTTAGTGTATGATTAAAACTAAATTCTCTGTATAATATGATTAAAACTATATATATGTGTTCATTGAAAAAAAAAATTATTTTTGCAACAAATATGCTATAAACAAATATGGAAAAACCTGTCCAGCTCATAACTAGAACATTATTAGACCTAGAGCTTTGGCAAAAGTATACATCTAAAGTAGAAGGTGTGTCTGGGCCTATTTCAAGGTCACTGTGACCTTTAATTAAAGTGATTTATTTTTTTAAACTAAGTTTTTTAAATTCTAAATTTCATAATCCTAAAAAATGTAAAAATAATAGTTGTATCCTTATTAAAAGATGTTAAATTAAGCAAAAACTTATTTTTTCATTATATACTTTACAGCAATCTGTAAGAAATGTTTATGCTTTGAGAGGAATTCAGTATATATGCATAATTATCAAGCACTGAGAAGAATTTTGATAGCAGAAATTTGCATGTCAAATTAGAGAGAAATTAATGAGTTTATTGTCAGGAGCTAAGAGGTCTCTATAGATCTGATGCAGAGTTATCTTAATTTATCCCTTGAGAGTTGGGCAAAAAGAAATGGCCTCATGGTTGCTTGTGTAAATTAAGAGTTCTTGATGGCTAGTCCAAGATCTTTCAGTTGGTGTAATTAATTAAAACAAATTGATGTTGTAGTGTATGATTAAAACTAAATTAGTATTGTACAATATGATTAAAACTAATTATACATGTTCATTGAAAAAAAAATTATATTTCAATTTTTATATATATATTTGCAACAATTTGCAGTCATGCCTCACTTAAAATTTTATAGTCTGAAGAATAATTTATGTTTGATTTTTGACTAGCATTTCCATTATTTCATAAAATATGCAATAAACAATTTTAAGCTGCAGATCGATGGATATTTGTTATGCTCTAACATAGTTTAGAAGTATATGATGTTATTATTTGTTATAATCAATCCCTACACTGTAAAGTCTCTTAGAGATGTATGATAAGAAATGGAAATTAGATAATTGAAATTTGTGTCAATCTTTTAATCAAGGCTACCTGATTTTCTTTCATCTTAACCAATTCATGATTAGTAATATGCGTATCATGCTGTGATTTCAAGTATAACTATTTAATAATGCACACTGTGAGTTTTGGATGATAACCTATATGCACTGATCTTCAGAGAAAACCAAAACAGTGTTTATTTCAGTATCATTGTAAGGTTTAAATATTAATTATGGTTCATGACTTGAGTGCTGATTTTCATGTGATAAGATCCATGTTGACCCATTACATACAATGAAGCGCATTGAAGTGGTAAAATTTTCTGTGAACGTTTTGATATCTTTAGAACGTTTATTGTCATCTTATACACGCCCATTTCTTTAGAAATGGACAAAACGGTCAATTTGGAATATCTGTAGAACAGGTTTTCCATAAATATAATAGCACAACAATTGACGGACTAAATAGAACATAATTCTTTGTATCGAAACGTGTTGTGTTAACTTCAGTAGACATGGTGTTTGCAAATTCGTTGCAATTTGAGTTTAAAAAGCAGAAATTCTTTCTTCTAATTTTTTTAAAGCTCCATTTCGGTGTAACTCATGTTGCTTGTCACGAATGCGGGGTGTCCTGGACATTACGAGAATATTTGTTTCTAAAGAAATGGGCGTTTCATAATGTTATAATTGATGTTCAAAACAAGTAGAACGTTTACACAGAAAATTTTACCACTTCAATGTGCTTCATTGTATATATGACAGTTACAGAACTTTGAATGAAAAATTTTACGTTATAAGTACGTAACACTTATAAAATTACAGTACAATTGGTCAATACTACTGATATTTTAACATAGAACTGCTTTTCTCTCTTTTTTTATATGTTTGTTTATATATGTGTTTGCCCTTTATTTAACCTGTCGAACACATTGGGATCACTCTGTCATCTGTTTGTATGCGTGCAGGAACTGTCTCCTGAACACCCTGGATAAATGCATTTTGTTCATTGCAATACAATCTTGATTTTATTTGCCATATTTCCACCTTTTCCTTAAAACTACATATTTATTAATCGTATGATAAGAAATATGCTTTAGTGTAAGCAAAAATAAGCTGTAATTTTTATAACCACTGGTTTAATATTTTTTCTTGGTCTTTAATATATTATTTTTCTTCTTCAGATAACAGTGACCTTATTGCTTGCACAGTGGTCATGAGAGACACGTAAGTTGTTTATTTTATCATCAATCCAAATATATCTATGATGAAATGTCAACTATATTTAAAAACATGAGGGGGGCTTCCCTTCTTCCATGTAATACTCCCAACCACCTAAGCTTTTGTAAAAGAGATAGATAACCATAATAGAAAGAGAAATATTTCCATTTCTAATTTTTTTTCTGTGATACCTCATTGAAAGTTGTCGGAGTTTATTTCTTGATAATTCTGCCGGAATGTAAATTAGGTAGGTTGATAGGTCAGGAGCTAAGGAGGCCTAATATGCGAAGCCCGTTATGCATAAATTATCCCATGTTTCCCACTATCGTTGATGTCCCTGGCATACTACACTAACTAGACAGTGATTCCTTAAAAAATAATCATGGTAGCCAGACATAATAACCATTAAAGAGACAAGGAGATAGCCATGATAGACAGCAAATTAGCATTGTGGAAAGACAGCTAATAGCCATGAAATAGACAGACAGCTAATAACCATCATAAATAGACAGCTAATAACCATTTTTGACAGACAGGTAATAGCTCTGATAAAGATAGACAGATAGTTAACCGTAAGAGACAGGCAGACAGCTAAAAAACATGATATGGACACACAGCTTACCATGATAGACAAACAGCTAATAACTTTGATAGAGACAAACAGATACCATGATAGACAGACAACAAATGACCAGTATGAACAGACAGCTAATAACCATTATAGAGACAAACAGTTAACCATGATAGACAGACAGCAAATAACCATTACGGACAGATGACTAATAGCCATGTTAAAGATAAGCAGATAGTTAACCATGAAAAACAGCAAATAACCATTATGGACAGACAGCTTATAGCCCCTATAAAGGTAGACAAATAGATATCCATGATAGACAGACAGCAAATAACCATTATAGACAAACAGCTTATAGTCCTGATAAAGATAGACAGATTGTTAACCATGATAGAGAGACAGCAAATAACCATTATAGACTGACCACTAATAGCCCTGATAAAGATGGAAAGGTAGTAAACCATGATAGACAGCTAAAAACTATTATAGACAGACAGGTAATAACCATTACAGAGACACATAGATGTCCATGATAGACAGACAGTGAGACAGACAAATTATTATGCAATACCTATGATAGACAGACAGATAATAAGAAAGTTAGAGACAGACATAACCATAATAGACAGACAGTGTTGGCCAAACACAATGTGGAATGAAAACAAGAAAACAAAGATTAAATCCAGCTGTTATTCAAGGACCAGCCACAGTGTGTACAATTGTTCCCCATTCTAACTAAGTTTTTGGTGTTTTTCCAGGAGGAAGCAGGAGAGGCGATTCCTGGTTATAGACAAGTTACAGATGATTCTAGTGGAGCCCGACACCAGAAGACTGGGCTGGGGGGTGGTCCGCTTTGTTGGTTATCTACAGGTAAGTCATCAGTCAGTGTGTAGTTAACATGACACCAGAAGACTGGGTCCGCTTTGTTGGTTATCTACAGGTAAGTCATCAGTCAATGTGTAGTTAACATGACACCAGAAGACTGGGCTGGGGGGTCGTCCGCTTTGTCGGTTATCTACAGGTAAGTCATCAGTCAATGTGTAGTTAACATGACACCAGAAGACTGGGCTGGGGGTGGTCCGCTTTGTTGGTTATCTACAGGTAAGTCATCAGTCAATGTGTAGTTAACATGACACCAGAAGACTGGGCTGGGGGTGGTCCGCTTTGTTGGTTATCTACAGGTAAGCCATCAGTCAGTGTGTAGTTAACATGACACCAGAAGACTGGGCTGGGGGTGGTCTGCTTTGTTGGTTATCTACAGGTAAGTCATCAGTCAGTGTGTAGTTAACATGACACCAGAAGACTGGGCTGGGGGTGGTCCGCTTTGTTGGTTATCTACAGGTAAGCCATCAGTCAATGTGTAGTTAACATGATAAGGCAAGCGAATAATCAGTTGTAGCTGCAGGATGCAACACTCACCTACCTTATTCTATTACAATTTTTTTTTTTCACCAGAATTATATTGAAATGCTGCTGGGGCTGTTTTGTGCTTTGTCCTTAATGATGTTATAAAGAGTCATTATTTTAAACCATTTGGCTACAGCTCCCATTTTAAACTGTTTAGCTGCAGCTCCTGGGCCTTTCAAAAGCCAAAAATTCTTTCTTACTTAGGGATAATAAAAATTCAACCTTGTAAGCTCTAACTGTGTTTCGAAACAACTCATAAACACAACACATTTTACAGAAATTCATTCAGTTATGAGAACAGGGTTTTCATAACTTGAAAACTTTGATGGGCCATTAATTTCCATTTATTCAAAACAAAATCACATTAAACTAAAGGGAATGAAAATAAGAATATTTATGAAATCTTTGTTTACGGAAATGCTTGTGTAATGTATGTATCTTGGCATGCTTCAAAATTAATGACAATTTGCTATAGGATATGATTTATAGTTTTACTTACATGACATTGTCAACAATTTGAAAATTTATAGATCTTATTACTCTAAAGGTTAGGCTACAGCTGTTGATTTATATTGTTTACATTTTTTTTTTCTTTCTTTTTTTTTTTTTTTTTTTTTCTCTTTTTTTTTTTTTTTTTTTTGCTTTAAACTTGTTTATAATAAAAGAATATAGCCTGAAAATCCAAACCTTTTTAAATGGAGGACTTTATTTGTTTCAACAAATTTAAAAGTCTTTTGAAGAGTTAACAATAAGAACTCTGTTAAAATGTATGTTCGAGTCTTTATGGAGATAACAGTCAATACAATAACTTTTTTTTTCACAAATGCAGTAATGTTCTTAAGTCAAAATGTTGACTGACATCTCTATTATTCCATTGCTGACCCATTATTTTCACGTCGAATTTTCAATGGATTTGTTTCCTTTACCAAATCATGAGGAGCACATAATGAGTGTAACTGTGTGACTGGGGATGTTTACCCCTCCAAGACATCTGATTCATTCTCAGTTTTTAAAGGACTTGTGTTGGCTCTGCTTATGATTGCATTGAGAAAGCTCACAAATCCTTATGTTTGTATTATACTTGTACAATAGTTTGTTTGAAATACAATAGTTCTTTCCCAAGAGAAAAGCCCAGATGAGAACTGTCTCTGAAACCCTCTATTTAAACATGACATTAAAAGAAGCATTGATTCAATCCATGCTTAGTATTCTCTCAATGAAAAAGTTTTAATATAATGAAGTGAAAATAGAAATATTTCTAGGAAATTATTTTCATCCATTGAACTGATCATAAATAGATCTTTGAAAGATCGAATATATTTTGACTAGGCCTGGATACCATGCTTGACTCTTCCTAATTTATCTTATATGACAGTTAATGATTCAAATAAAAAAAAAATTCAGTTGTCAACAAACATGTTCATTGGCATGTGATAAATTATTCAATGTTTTTGACAGATATTAAGAGTTTTGAAGACCTTTGTTGATTTGATATTTAGTACTAATTGAAGTTTAAAATTATAGATTTTTGATTGATATTTTAAACAGATGAGCAATGTATGGTATGTTCTCCTTCGTGACCAGTATTTTGAAGACTTTTCTACAATATTTGCATCTACAATTTATCACATGTGTGACTTAAAATTTCACAACAGAGGTTTTCAAAAAGTCCCAATTTTATTTCTGAAAATGAGCTGAAATTTTAATAGTGAACAGATCTTCCTTTGATTGATAACAGAACAGAGGCCTTTAAAAATTAAGATGAAAAAGATTTTTTTTCTCTGATGTAAAGTCAACCTTCCTTGATGTAACAAAAAATCCGATTGCATAATATGCACTTCATGACCACGCAAGCAGGTGAATGGAATTTGACACTGACAAATCATTTTGTATTGATTTTCTTATTTCAAGTGGAGAAGAAATTTTTCAAAATTTTAAAAAGATCACCTACTACATTTTTATTTTAGAGATGAAGGATTTTCTTTTTTGGTCACATAAAAGAGATTTTACCAGTATTTGTATTTTTAGCTCTACATGTGTTTAAGTGGATTTTACATGTTTTTTTTCACTATTAATATGAAGTTTATGACTGCTTGAACCAATGTACTAGATTATGAATTATACTGGCATTGATATATTCTATTTTAGAGAACCAATTGATTAAGCTAATTATAGTACCCTTTAATTGTTAATTAATGTTCAAACATGTATCAGAGAGTTCCATTTAAAATGACTTTTCTGAGTATTGAGCTGAAAATACATGGCTGTCTTGGAATTTCTAAACAAGGTTAAAAAAAACTTTGAAGGCAGAAAATTTCAACTTTTGACAGACGTGTTGTAAAATTTATAGGTAAATTGAAGTCCATTCACCAGTAACTTTTTACCAATTGACAATGCAAGAACCAATAAAAAAATGTCTTCATCAATGATGGTGTTGATATCAGATAGGTTTGTTTTTTTTTTGGTCACTTGATGTTAGGCGTCTGGGTTTTTGGATCTTGGACAGGTCTATCATAATTTCTTCCTTAAACTCTTCAGGCTCATCTTATCTCCCATATTAGGACAGGCAAACAAACTGCCTTGGGTGAGCTAGGCCATATGCGAAAGGCTTGTGATTAATTATTGTAGGTTCTTTTGTCTTGGCCAGAAAGCTTAGTAAGTATAGTATCAGTTTAATGTTAAGGTAGCCTGGGTTTTGCATGTTGCATATTCTTCCTTCCTGTTACAACATGATCATGAGGAAGGAACTACAGATTTCAATTCAACTAATTTTTCATAGTATCTCTCTTTTTAAATTATAATATTTTTTATAGCAGAAACAAATATAAAAATTTCAGGCTTGGAAACTTTTAATGTTTCAAAATATTATCAAAATATGCATTTTTCTTTTTAGGTCACCTGAGTAACTCCGTCGTTTGTTGTCCGTCATGTGTTAACATTTGAACATTTTCAACTTCTTCTCTTAAATCACAGAACCAATTTCAACCAAATTTAGTATACAGCATCTATGGGGAATATAAATTGTGAATTTCATGGTCCCTGCCTCCCTGGGGCCTGGGGGTGGGGCCAAAACCACTAAAATTATTGCAATCTTTAAAAATCTTCTTCTTTACTCCGGGACATAGCAGGCAAACTGTTGGCATGAATGTATTGAGCATTCGTCTACCAAAATTGTGAAATTCATGGCCCCTGGGTCAGGGGTTCTAGTGCTAGGGTGGGGCTATATAGATTATATAGTGAAAATGCATTATTTCTTTAAAAATCTTCTCTGCTCCTGGATATTAAATAAACTAACCAAGTACATAGTTATGATGAGCAAGAGTGCCTTTTCCAAAATTGTGAATTTTATGGCCCCAGGGTCAGGGGTTCTGGTGTTAGGGCGGGGTTCTATTAATTATATGGTAAAAATGCATTAATTCTTTGAAAATCTTCTTCTCTGCTCCTGGGTTTTGAAAATCTAACTAAGTATATAGTTATGATGAGCAAGAGTGCCTCTTCCAAAATTGTGAATTTTATGGCCCAAGGGTCAGGGGTTCTGGTGTAAGGGCGGGGCTCTATTGATTATATAGTAAAAATGCATTAATTCCTTGAAAATCTTCTTCTCTGCTCCTGGGTATTAAATAAACTAACTAAGTATATAGTTATGATGAGCAAGAGTGCCTCTTCCAAAATTGTGAATTTTATAGCCCCAGGGTCAGGGGTTCTGGTGTTGGGGGGGGGGACTCTATTGATAATATAATGAAAATATTTTCCTTTGCTCCTGGGTTTTATGCCAATGATCCAAGTATATTTATGATGAAGAAAGGTGCATCTGAAGCAAAATGGTTATTTTTTATGCCCCCCCCCCCCCCCCCGGGGTCGGGGGGGGGGGGGGGGGGGGAGGTTACATAGTCTGAATATAAATTAATGCTTTGAAATCTGCTCTTTGGTATTAATTAACCATTTATGATAAAATTTGCAAAATTTTGAAATATGTGACCCCAGGATCAGTGGTTCTTTGGGATGAGGTGCACAACTGGTGATAAAGTGGAAGTGCATTTCCTCTTTGTTACTCTGATCTACCTCTGGGTATTAAGTAAATAGAGTAAGCATGGTAAGTATATAATTATGATAAGCAATGGTACCTCTTTCAAAATTGTGAATTGTGAATTACATGGCCTCTGGTTTAAAACACGAACCAAATTTAATTGTTTGAAAGTTGTTACACAATACTCAGGTGATCTGTAACACCGTGGGCCTCTTATATGATAAAATTTGCAAAATTTTGAAATATGTGGTCCCAGGGTCAGTGGTTCCTTTGGGGAGAGGTACAAAACTGGTTATAAAGTGGAAGTGCATTTTCTCTTTGTTACTATGATCTACCTCTGGGTATTAAGTAAGTAGAGTAAGCATGGTATGTTTATAATTATACCCCCCGCTTGAAAAGTGGGAGGGTATATAGTAATCGGGATTTCCGTCCGTCT